AGCGTGCTATGGCCATGCCAGAGGTGCCTGGCCCTCACACCCGTCACTGAAGAGCACTGCGCCCTCTGCAACCAGGGACGGCCAAGGGACTTCGATCAATGGTGCCCCCTGGAGGACGAGGCCGACCTGTGGCTGCCGCGGGGCGCGTGGGAAGCGGCACATGCTGGCGCCGCGCTCGAGTCGGGCCACGGCCTGGCGGGTCGTGATGCTTGCAGGCACCGGGAGGCCTCGCCAGCCGCGCGAGGAAGCGCGAGTGGAGCCCAGCCGTCTTTAGAGACGGATGCTCCTCCCGATCCTCCTGCTCCTCGTCGACCCCGTCTCTCCACCCGGATCCCCAGAGCATCAGGAGTCTTCGAACACGTATGAGGAGGAGGAGGAGGAGGAGGGGGAGGAGGAGGAGGAGGAGGAGGCTGTTGAGGAAGAGGAGGAGGAGGAGGAGGAGGAGGAGGAGGAGGAGGAGGAGGAGGAGGAAGTGAGGGAGGAGGAGGAGGAGGGGGAGGAGGAGGAGGAGGAGGAGGTCCCACCGTCTTGTTGCGAAGGGTCAGAGCCATGACCGACCGCAGATAGGCGCCCGTCCGGTCGGGCTGGCACTGCCGTGCTGGGGCTCCAGGAGCCTGCGCAGCTCGGCTACGCTGGCGGCGGCTGGCCCTGCGGGCCGTTCTCCTCGTGCTGGTGCATCAGCTTCCGCGGGCACGCACGGGGAGCGCTGTCGCCTCGGCTGTCTGGTCTCCGGGTCTGAGCGACGGCGACGGCCGCAGCGACGACGACGAGGGCGACGGCCCCCGCGCGCGACCAGCTCGATGTTCGACCGCACGTGGGACAGCTCCATCGCGGACGGCCTGCCCTCCCCGAAGGAGCGGCGGAAGCACACCCTGGGCGGCCTGGCGCAGACGTCCCAGGCGGCGCCGGTCGCCGTCGGTAGGGAGGGAGGGCGGAGCACGAGCAGGGGGGAAGGGGGGGGGCGGGGGGAGGAAGGGGGGGGAGGGAGGGAGCAAGCCGAGGAGGGGGGACAGCGAGGGAGGGGGGCGAGGGAGGGACACGGGGGGAGGAGGGGGGAGGAGGGGGCCAGAAGGTGAGGAGGGGGGATGGGGGGGGGGCGACGGAGAGGAGGGAGGGAGGGAGCTACAGTCAACCCGCATAGTAAGGGTGAGCAACTCTCCAGCGTTACCCTTGCATCCTTCCCCTTCGGCCTATCCTCGCCCACTTTCGCTGACGGCGCCCCGCTCGGAAGGTGCCGACATGGCCTTCCGGGGCCTTGATTCCTCACCGCGCAACCTTCTTATACGGGTTGACTGCAGCCGGTGAGCCATCCGTGCACGGCTGCACCCCGGGTAGCGGCCGCCCCAAGCCAAGTGCCAGCACCCCGCGGGGCCTGCAGGCCATCAGCCCTGGGACGGGGGCGTCCCTCAGGAATGAGCCCTGAGAAAGGAGAGCCGCAGCCAGGAGGGTGGGGGGGGAGGCGGAGGGGGCATGCCAGGGAAAGGAACAGCTGAATAGGAGGTCAGAGGAGGGGTCAGGAAGAGAAGGATCGGGGGTTGGAGGAGGGGCGGAGGAGGAGGATGGCCAGGAGGAGGTGGAGGGAGGAGGGAAGGCGAGGGAGAGGACGCTGCGGAGGAGAGGAGGAGAAGGAGGAGGAGGAGGAGGAGGAGGAGGAGGAGGAGGTGGGGAGGGAGGAGGAGGAGGAGGAGGAGGAGGAGGAGGAGGAGGAGAGGAGGAGGAGGAGGAGGAGGAGGAGCAGGAGGAGGAGCATGATGAGGGTGAGGCATGGGGGCGTGGGGGAAGGAGCAGCATTTGAGAAAGGGCATGGCAGGGCATGGGGATGAAGAGGAATGGGAAGATGAGGAGGGAGGGTGAGGCGACAGGTAAGGAACAGAAGCATCAACGCGGATTCGGCCTTTGAGAACGGCCTATTCTTCCTTCTCACCCGGTATTCCATTCCTCCCTCTTCTCATCCACACATTCCCGTTGTTGATGAGGAGTAGGACTCCGAGGAAGAGGACGGAATAATGACAGTGATGACGAGGAGGGAGGAGGAAGAGGCACCAGAAGGAGGATGAGGATCAGGATAAGGATGAGGAAGGGGAGGAGGAGGAGGAGGAGGAGGAGGAGGCGGAGGAGGAGGAGGAGAAAGAGGAGCAGGAGGAGTTGGAAGAGAAGGGTTGGAACTGGGCGGCCCCCGCCCCCAAAGCATCCTCTGGCCTTGTCACATACTCCCCTTCCCCTTCCGATCCCCCTTCCGCCTCTTTCCCCCCGCCTATTCCCATCATCTCTTCCCGAGAATTCGTCATCGTCCCTCCTCATTTCTGTTCATCCCTGCCGTTGTTCTCTTCGTCCTCCTTCTCTCCCTCCGCCTCCCCGACATCATTGCCTCCCAGCCTTGTACTTTCTCATCCCTCTTCCGCACCTTTCCCCCCCTCTCGCTCCCCCCTCCTCCGCTTCCTCATTAATCGTCATCTGGCATTCGCTGAGGCGACACTTGCAAAGAGAACTCGGACCCCCTCGCACTGTGCAAGTGACGTCGCGGTCACTGGCCGATCTGTGTCTCTTCCCGTTGACGTGGGCAGCCAGCGGACACTCGTGCGCAATTGCATCCTGGGACACGCCTATTGACAAGGCATTTCTGCTCAGTCGACCCTGTGCCAGTCTCACAGTTTGGGTCATCCGCGCCATCGGAGGTAAGCTCGAAGGCCCATGCGTGTTCCACTCTGGCCGTGTGGTCGCCAGGATCTCCGCTCACTGTCTATTGTCCCTCCGTGCAGAAATGACGAGGCAGCTGCACCAGGAGGTCGCAAGTGGTGAACGCGAGTTCTCCAGGTCGCCAGGGACGATGACGGGGCATACGTCCTCGCCCTCTGGGCGTTCCGGCGGCGGGCGGGCAAACGGCCCCCCCCCCAGCGTACCCCAACGGCACCCCGATGGTGCCCCGGTGGGCTTGCGCATGCAGCTCGATGGTGTCCCGATGTGCTCCGATTGATGGGCCAATGTCCCAACACCGCTACCGTAGGTAGGACGGGGGAGAAGGGAGGATGGGGAGGTCCTCCTCTTCCTCCTCCTCCTTCTCTTTCTCCTCCTCCTCCTCCTCTTCTTCCTCCTCCTCCTCCTCCTCCTCCTCCTCCTCCTCCTCCTTCTCCTCCTCCTCCTCCTCCTCCTCCTCCTCCTCCTCCTCCTCCTCCTCCTCCCCCCTCTCTTACCTCGACCAGCGGCCGCACGGCCCACCAGTCGAGCTCTTGATTGGTTGAGACAACATCGGAAGCAGATCACTTGGGAAATCCTTCTCAAGCAAATCCGCGGCGCCCTCCAGCCATAATTCAACCTCCAGCTGTTCATCGAGCGGGAGACCTGCTCCACCACCTGCCAGTGGAAGCCAGTTCTCAAGAGGAACAAGATCAGCCCTTCCGCGGAAGTGGAGATGCAGTGGGACCACACCACGCCGCGCCGGCTTGAGATGGATACGTTGGAGCTGGCGTCTGCCTTTCCTTACTCCTGTTTTGGAGCGTGAGGCCCAAGAGTGGTACCTTGATCAGATTGCGAAGGTGTGGGGGCGGAGATCGTGGAGAGTCCAGCTGGGCACGTGGAACTCGAGGGCCCTGTGCCACCATGACCTTGCGATGCTCCTGAAGAAGGTCTCTTACCTGCGTCAGGCTACCCGCAAAGCGATGATCCTTGCATTGCAGGAGAATCACGGTTCGATCCGCCGCGTCACCGACATTCTCATGAGATGTGATTTTCAGCAGTTTTTCGCCCCAGTGTTTCGTCTTGGTTTGGTGAGCGTGGCGTGAAGATTCAAGGGTTGGACGATTGTTCCTTAGCCGCACTCGGGCTATGCCATAGGTTTCCATCACACTGGCGGCGCGACGGTCGGCGGCTAGCAGAAACCAGCGAAAGCAGGAAGGTGCGTCCCTTCGAGGAGTTTGCAGTTCTTTCTTGGCTCAAGATTTCGGGCATGTCTGACTTTTACCGATCGGCGATGACGCTTTCACCCAGGCGCGTTTCATTACCTTTTGTCGCCGTCTGCCGCTTAGAGGGACCGCTGCTCTGGAGCCGCACATGCAGCCCGTACCCTACCCGACCTGCTGTTCACGGGCGGGAACCAAGGGGGGCAAGCCACTAGTTGAGGAAGTGTGTGGGGCGGCTGTGCGAGGATCTCGGAAGAGCGGTGGCTCAGCTCCTCATGCGAGCATGTTATCTCTAGCCCACACGTGCCATTGGCACCGCACTGGTGGCCACGTGGGACGGATGCGAGCCATTGCCTCGACCCCAGCAACCGCATGGGCTGCGCGGCCTGCAAGGCATGTGAACCAGCACTACCTGCGACTTGTGCTCGTGTTGTCGAGCAGGCCTGCGCTGCGCTCCGGGCGCAGCGGGCTCGGCCATGCACACGTTCTGAAATCATGTGGAATTGGTCATGAACGGCAGCGAGGTCGTTCAACTTCCTTTCCAGGCGGGTGCGTCATGGCGGCCATCATTTGCGATCGGTTCTCCGTTTCCCGAGCCAGCCGATAGTGGCGTGGGCAGTGCGGCCCGCCTAGTAACCATTCCTCGTCCTCCGCATCCTCGGTTGCATCACCTGCGAGGTTTACTTCAGCATCGGCGCTGATATATCCGTGGTCGGAAACAGGCCTAACCCTGCTGACTTCTGGTCTGTTCGGTTGAATCCGCCTAGGGAAGGCTCCCGAAACGGCCTCATAGTTGGCGAAGTCAGGCTCAATCCAAATCTATAGCCCCTTCATCGAGTTCAACCGCCACTGATCTTTCCCAAGCAGACCTCCCACGAGTTGTCTTCTATCCGAGGTGGGCATTTTTCCGCTACCACCGCTTAGGGGATCGACCTTCGGAGACATTGGCAGGCGGTGTGTACGGATATATTTGGGCATTGGGGGGGGGGCAAGCAAATACCTCCATATCCTCCGTCTGCCGGGGTCCCCGAGGGTCGGTCTCCCTGCGGTGGCTTCGGAGAGACTCCGACTCGCACCCCAGCTCAGCTTCCACAGCCGCTTTGGCTCAAGCCCGCGTTTCAGGCGGCGCCCCGTCCCCCCCCCCCCCCCGAGCAGCGCGTCAGTCTCGGGAGACCCCGCCCGCCTGAGGACATGCCCGGCCAGGGCAAGAGGAGGAAGCAGCGCGTGCCCGCCGGCGGCGGGGAGGAGGAGGACGAGGCAGAGGGCGAGGCCGTCGGCGCGGAGGGAGAGAAGGGAGAAGGAGGGAGTCGGGAGGGGAAGAGAGTATTAGTGACATGTTGCCGTGCTGGTCAGCGTGGTGAGCCTTTGTGCTTGTCCGCGCGCCTGGTGTTTGTTTCTTCTACAGCAGCACGCTGATGGGTTCCGCATGGCGGCTTGCCATCGATACTGTTTTGCCCCCCCCCCCCCCCCTCCCCGAGGGAAGACGAGTGGGGAGGGAGGGCGGGCAGGGAAACTCCTTGCAGTGTCGGCGTCGGCCCTGAGTCAGAGAAGAAGAAGAAGCATACTAATATTAATAATAACACTAAGAAGAATAATAATAAGAAGAAGAAGAACAAGAAGAAGAAGAAGAACCGGAATAGCATGAAACTGACCTCTCGAAGGTCGGCGTGTATTCCTCGGATCTTTCCGATGCCATCCCTGATAAGGGGGCTCAGTACTTAACCGAGAGATCCGTGCGGCCATTCGAACGTATACGTTCGCGCCGTTGCTTCGCCTCCTGGCGAATCAGTCGGCCCTGCGAGAGAGAGCGAGGCATAGCCCGAGACTGGCCATACACCACTCACAAGTGCAAGGCTGCGCCGTGGGCCTTGCAGCCTGGCCGACACATGATCAAGAAGACCGCGGTCCGCGCTCGACCGTGAGGTCATCACGCTCGGGGTGGCGCCCGCGGGACACGAGAGTCCAAGCAGACGCTTTCCCCTCGCGTCTCCGCTGCGCCTCCTCTGGCGGATCGATGCCGAGAGGCCTCCGATGTCGGCCTGGCTTCTCAGGCCGCCCTACCTCCTCATCCACTCCTCCTCTGGGTGCCGATGTCGATGAGGAGGCGGAGGAGGATGAGCCTCTTCCCGCATGGCCTGTGGCGTCCAGCAGCTTCTGCTCTGCCTGGGCAAGAGCTCTCGGCCCGGCGCACCGCCGTGGCCGCTGCCCCCCTCGAGCTCCTTGCGCGCCTCCGCCACGCGCCGCGTGTCGCGGGGCCCCCCTCGAGGGCCTCCGCCTGCAGTGGAGGGGGGGGGGGACCTGGCCCTGCCACTTCCCAGCACTCCTGTACACCTCGGGCGCCCCTGCGCCTTGGCAGCCGTCGCTGGCCCCAATCGCCCTGGACACTCTTGCAGCTCCCCGCGCTGCGGCTGCTGGCCTCGAGCCGCCGCCTCCGCGAGCCTCGCGAAGCTCCCCCGCGCCACCGCCACTGGCCTATAACTGCAGCCTTGTGGGCTGCCCCTGCGCCCGAGCCTCAGAGGCTCCTGTGCGGCCGCCCGCTGCGCCTCCTCCTCGGACCATGGTCAGACCCGCGGTCGCCATGCTGCCGGCCACGCCCTGCGCCCTGCCCCGCTCCTCAAGCTGTGCGAGCCGAGGCCGTTCGGGTCCACTCGCTGCTGCTCTCGCCGTCGTCGGCTCGAGCGTGGCCCCTCTCGGGCCCCTTGTACCGTTGTGCTTGGCCGTCGCCGTGAACCCCGCGCCGAGGCGGACCCCCAGCGACGCGTCTAGCCACGTCAGCACGGCGAAGGTGGCGGCGGCCGCGCTGCACTCCAGCGCGTGGAGCGGCCGCGTGGCTCTCCTGAGCCTCCGTCCCTGCCTGCTCCGCCGGGAGCCGCCGCCCCCATGGCGGCCCGCTCCTCCCTGGAGCCGCCGCCGCGCCAGGCGCGGGGGCCCCGGCAGCCGAGCATGCCCCTGGGTCCGGCTGCCGGGGGCCCAAGCCCGGCGCGTGCCACGGCCCCGCCCGCCCACAAAGGCTTGGCCCCCAACTCGCTTGGGCCGAGACGATTACGGAGCAGAGAGGGCAAACGCATGACAGAGAGAGAGAGAGAGAGAGAGCACTGGGACGGGGCGCGGCTGCGACCGCTGCGAAAGCCCTCTGTTCTCGAGGACGTCCAGACGGACCCCGCACTCCTCCGGGGCCGCCCTGCACGGCTCCAACATATCGTGGCCCCGATCGCGGCAGCGGCAGTCTTTACGAGGACGGACTCGCCGAGTCGGGGCTATAGGCGGCTCGCCCGCACGTCGCCGGGCAGCGCCAGCCCGGCCACCCCAGAGCCCCACTCCGCCCCCCCGGACCGAGCGTGCACTGCGGATGCGCTCGAGATCTCGGGGGCGGAAAAAAGAGGGGGGTGATGACTAGGGGGGGGGGGATGTCATGGCGCGGGCCATGGCCCCTGGCCCCCCCGCTGGGCCCGCGCACATGCCGCCGGCCATGAGTTGCACCCCCCCTCTTGGACACACCCCCCGCTTGGCCGCTCCCGAAGACAGTAGGCCGTCGTGGTGGGGTGGGTTCACCTCGAGGGGCGACGGGCGAGGGTCGAGGAAGAGGCGGAGCTCCTCTCCGATCCTCCTATAGTCCTCCACCTCCTCCTCGATCCTCCTCCTCCTCCTCCTCCTCCTCCTCCTCCTCCTCCTCCTCCTCCTCCTCCTCCTCCTCCTCCTCCTCCTCCCCCGAGCGGGTCCTGATGGCAACAGGGCACAGACCTCGCGGCTCTCCCCAGGACCAGTTCTTCATCCCAGGTTTTTCTGGGTCCGCGGGGGGGGGGGCCGGGGGCCCAACGACCGCGGAAAGCTTCCGGACCCGTTTCTCTCAGGACCGTTTCTCCTCCGTGCCAGGGAGAGGAGGGGTCCGAAGCAGGGGGGGCGGATGCCACCAGGCCGAGGCCGAGGAGGAGGAGGCCGAGGTGGCCCCCGGCAAGAGGAGGAGGGCTGCGGCCTCGGGCTCCGCCGCCGCGGCAGGGGGCGCCGAGGACGATGGACAGGACTCTCGGGACGGACCGCGTGGGGGTCATCCCGGAGGGGAGCCGCAGGCGATACAAATGGCGCCAACATGCGGTCGGTGGCTCGGAGTGTCGCTCCGCCGATTCTGGCCCGCTAGGCTTCGGCGCGGCACGCTGGCCACGCCCCCTTTCCCGCCTTTTCCTGGCCTCCCGCCTGGCGGAGCGGAGCGTCACGCTATCCATTCGCCCGGCATGCCGTGTCGCCGGGGCCGCCGCCCGACACGCTGAGCAACAGGTCCCGACCGTAATAAAGCTTTCGGAGGTCTGCGCAAAATCTTTTGGATTGGCGCCGGGCCCCTCCCCCTCTGTGGCGCCAGAGGCGCCATTCCAGCAGATCTGCGCGGACCTCCGAACGTTTATGTTTCTGCCGGGGCTGGCGGGAGGAGGGGGATGAGGGATGGTGTTTGTGGGGAGGGGGAACCTGCTGCGTGCAGCCGGTTTCGGCTCCGTCACCGTGCGTTTTCTTTGGTAATCACCTGCCCGCCTCGGGCTCCAGGCGCAGAAACAGCTGCAGTCGGCCGTGCGCAGATGGGGGCAGGGGGAGGGGGAGGGCTTCTTACAGGCTTCTCTGCTTCTTCGAAGGCGCGGGCCCTGTCTACAGACGTTCGGCCAGCGCCTTCTAAGAAGCAGCCTCCTCCTGAGGTGCCTCCCGCCCCTCCTCCATACCCCCTTGCGTTCTATGCAACTCCTGGGAGGTTACACTCTGACTTTGCCCTGGTCCGAAATCCAGCTTCATCCGGCTTATTTCCGCTTAATCCAGTTTAATATGGTTGAATGCCGCTTAATCAGCGGCCTAATCTTGCGTAGTAGCCCCCCACTTGGGCTGAATCCTCCTCATTCCTTCCGACGAAGACCTCTCGGTAGTTGCCTCCGAAATTGTGCGCGCCGCCAAGATCACCTGCCCGCCTTTGGCGTCGGGAAGAAAACAGCTGCATGCAGCTGGCTCTCCACCTTCCTGCGCCCTCTGTTCCTCTGTCGTCCGACCCGACAAGGGTGGCCACTGCACTCTGGCCCCCCCTGCGTCGTGGATGATCCTCCTCCTCCCTCTCCACCTCCTTCTCCTCCTCCTCCTCCTCCTCCTCCTCCTCCTCCTCCTCTTCCACCTCCTCCTCCTTCTCCTCCTCCTCCTCCTCCTCCTCCTCCTCCTCCTCTTCCTCCTTCTCAGCCCCCTCCTCCTCCTTTCCTCCTCCTCCTCCTCCTCCTCCTCCTCCTCCTCTTCCTCCTTCTCAGCCTCCTCCTCCTCCTCCTCCTCCTCCTCCTCCTCCCACCATTCTGCTACGCGCAGAGGAGCGTATGGGGAGGTGGGAAGGCCTCTTAGAAACACGCCAGCTTCTTAGAAGGCGCGCCTTTTGTCTGTAGATGTAAGGCGGGCGCCTTCTAAGAAGCAGCCTCCTTCTAAGAAGCCTTCCCTCATTATGCCCCCTGATGCGCGCCGCAAATCGATGTTTTTCATACCATGGCTTCTTATCGTATATGCCTGCTGCTTCAGCGCCTGCCACGGCAGCCCCAGGACGAAGAACCGGACGAGAGCTGCGAGGACGAGGACGACGAGCAGCTCGAGGAGGGTGACGACGAGGACGTAGGGGACGACGAGGAGGGCGAGCAGGGGGCCCCGCGCATCTGGAGGCCTGGTATTGACCAGCTCGAGGAGGGCGAGCAGCTGGACATGGAGCCAGGGTCGTACGACATGATCCACAAGGCTCAGGTCAGAGGAGGCAGAATTGAGACCGCGGTAGTTGGCCTTCGGGGGCCCCTCTCGCCACGGCTGGACGCAGCTCGGAACACCGGTGCGTTCGGACCCTGGGAGGGGTCCAGGGTCCGATTGTATTTGAAATTGTCTCAGCTCGCCCCACTTCGACCAGGTGGAGTGGCCGTGCCTCAGCTTTGACATCGTTCGGGATGACTTGGGTGCCCAGCGAACTGCGTACCCGATGACGGCGTACGTGGTCGCTGGCACACAGGCGGAGACGTCAGGCGACAATCGGTTGTATATGATGAAGTGGTCGCGCCTTTATAAGACTAACAAGGATGGCCGCGAAGAGAGCGACGATGACGATGACAGCGATTCGGACAGCGACGACGACCATGAGGCCCAGCTGGAGTGCAAAGGCGTACCTCACCCAGGTGGTGTCAATCGCGTCAGATCTATGCCCCAGGCAGGTCACATCTGTGCCAGCTGGGCCGACACTGGCAAGGTCCACATGTGGCATCTGGAGGGTCAGCGAAAAGCCCTGGACAAGCCAAGCGCCCAGCCGGCAGCTGGCGCGAAGCCCATTTTCACGTGCGACGCCCATGCCGAGGAGGGCTTCGCGCTGGACTTCAGTCCTCACGACACTGGACGAGCCCTATCTGGCTGCAACGACGGCAAAATCTTCTTGTGGGAGCCGGTCCAGGGCGGTTGGAACGTGGGATCGGAGACCGCCTTTTCAGGGCATTCGGCAGCCGCCGAGGATGTTCAGTGGAAGAAGACTGGGGCTGGCAGCCAATCTATCTTTGCATCCTGCAGCGCCGACCGCAGCCTGCGCGTGTGGGACGTGAGGGAGAAGGGCCGCAAGAAGTCCGCTGTTCATGTGCCCGACGCGCACGGGAGCGACGTGAACGTTCTGAGCTGGAGCCCTTGCGTGGGGGAGCTGGTCGTAACGGGCGCCGACGACGGCGGTCTCGCTGGAGGGAAGGAGGGACGGAGTGAAGGAGGTACGAAAGTACGGAGGCATGGTGGGACGCCCACCGCCAGAAGATGTCCACATCCACCGCTCCTCGAGTCCCCAGGACACGACCCAGGGGAAGTGTACATCTTTTAGCGGCGCAGGACGTAGGGAGGGAGACGACGAGAGATGGAGGTTTTAAGATCTGGGACACGCGCAACGTCGGCATCGGGCCCATGGCGAACTTCATGTGGCACAAGAAGCCGATCACATCTGTGGACTGGCATCCCACTGATGTTGAGTGCAGGCAAGCGGGGGCGGAGGATGTCGGACAGAGAGTGGGCTTGGCCGAGGAGGAGACAGCGTTGACACGCGACTTGGCTAGATCTGTAGTCCCCCCCTTCCCAGAGTCATTCTACGCCTCCGATCAGCCGGCCCGCTCAGTGGTTCCAACCCCACACTGGGTGACCCCCCCGCCTGGCTGCGCTCAATGATGACACTGTCCTGGCCGTGTCTGCCGACGACGACTGCGTCTCTATCTGGGACATGGCGATAGAGGACACCCGTGCGGGGAGGATGCAGGAGGAGGAGGAGGAGGCGGATGGACCGGAGGAGGAGAAGGAGAAGAAGAAGAAGGATGGAGTACGGCAAAGAGGGCGAGAATTGCGTGGAACAGAGTGGGCTTGAGGGCGACGGGGAAGAAGCATAATCCATGAGATTTCAGGAGGAGAAGTCGGGATGGAGGAGATGGAGGAGGACGGAACAATTGAGGATAGATTCGGAGATCGGAGGATCGAGAAGGACATGGAAGAGGAGCGAGGATGAGGAGGCGGAGGAGGAGGATGGATGAGGATGGAGGATGCATGGCAACAGAGGACGACACGGCGGGGCGGGACTTACCGCCTGGTGCGGAGCACTTCCCCCCGCAGCTGATGTTTCTGCACCAGGCCTGCCCCTGCCACCGTTCTCGAGGACCGAGGAGTATCGAAGATCGAAGGCCGAGGTTTCTGGACGTTTTTGCTGTGTTTGTGGATGTTTATGGGCTTGTGCCACTGCAGAGCTTCGCCCTCCTCCCTGCCTCCTTCGCCTCGCCCCCTGCCTTCTCCACACTGCATCCCTTGTCGTCATCATCGTCACCCACTCCGTATGAGCGCTGCGGTGCGTGTTCTACCTGTCGGCGATGTGGCCCATCCCACCGACTCCGTAACGGAGCGCGCGCCGGCGCGATGCGTGTCCACCCCGCTGCCGAGACCACATCTCGGGCACCCAGAGACCCGACGTCGCCATGTTTTTGCAACGTGGCCCCCTAGAGGTCTGAACAACGTGGGCCCCAGGGACTGGCTTCTCACCCCGAGTCGTTTATGATTGTCCCGAGGCCTGGCGAGGGCCCCCAGTGGCCGAAAGCTGGAATGACGTCGCCGTTGTGATTTGTGTCACGGCGCAAGGAGGTGAGGGCTACCTTGGGTTAGGCGCGCTGTCTGTCCGCAAGCCCTTCCTTCACGCGTGACCCTGTGACCGTGGGGGAGACGCCGCTCAATGCCATGTTTGTGTAGGGCCTGGGCCATGGCGCGCCAAGGCCCAAAGTCCCCACCCTGCACTGCGGTCGTAGGGGCTGCGGTGTATGCGCAGGCTACTGCGGTGCTGCCCCCTTCAGCCTCCCATAACTACACCCCTTGCGTCTCGGATATCCATCTGGTAGTCTCCCTCTCTCCGCCATTATCTTCTTTCATCTCCTCTTCCTCTCTCTCTCTCTCTGTTTTTCTCTCTCCTCTCAATGTATTTTGTTGGTTCTCTCTCTCTCTCTCTCTCGCTTTCCTTCTTTTTCTCTGTCTGTTTATCGTTTTCTCTCTCTCTCTCTCTCGCTCTCTCGTTCCCTCTCTCTCTCTCGTTCTTCCTTTCTCGCGCACTCTACTTGTATATCCCTCTCTCTCTATCTCTGTCTCGCTCCCGATGTCTCCCTCTCTCTCTCGGTTTCGCTCTCTCTCTCTCTCTCTTTATCTCTCTTTCTGTCTCTCTCTCTCTCTCTTTCTCTTCCGCATGTCCTTCATCAACCTCGAGTCTCCCTCTATCTCCTGGCAATCGCCTCGCTCGCCCTCGCATTCGTTCTCATGTCGTCCGCGTGTATACTTCTCGTGCGCATTGTGATCACCATTGCCTTTCTGCCCCCCATACTCTTCCCCAGTCCCCCCCCACTCTACCCATGATTGTCCCACTTCTCGTGGTGCCCCTCCATTTCCACACACTCCTCGTCATCTTCCCATCCTGCTCATCGTTCTTCCTTTTCCAGTGCTCATCCCCCTGGTCCCCGCATCATTCGCCTCCGTTTCGCTCTCCCGGGTCACGCTCCTCGTGATTCTCGCCCTCGATCTCCTCACGCCCCTCCACGTCCTCCTCCGCATCGTCTTCATTATCAGCCCCCCCGCCCTGGAGCTTCGCTGAGCCTTCTCCGAGCCCCGTGGAAGCTTGTTAGGAGCCTCTCGAGGGCTTTTTGGGGCCTCCTGGGGAAATCTCGGGGGCCGCTTGGGGCCTCTTGCAGCCATCATGGGGTGGAGGCCCGAAATCAGTGCGTCCATTCGTCGCTCTCTGTTTCCTTCATCCTCCCTTCGCCCGTACCCAGGGTCAGAGCGAGCCGAAGGAGCTGAGATTCCATCCGCAGCTGCCCAGCGTGTGCATCGTGACGGCCTGCAGCGGCTTCAACATCTTCAAGACGTGCAACATCTGACGCGCGGTCGGTGCCGCGCTGCAGCAGGATGCGCGACGGCTGGAGGAGTCGATGAGGACGCCGATGCGCCCGCCTTCTTCCTCCTCGCCCTCCTCGCCCTCCTCGCCCTCCTCGCCTCCTCGCCCTCCTCGCCCTCCTCGCCCTCCTCGCCCTCCTCGCCCTCCTCGCCCTCCTCGCCCTCCTCGCCTTCTTCCTCCTCGCCCTCCTCGGGCTCCTCGCATGCCTCCTCCACTGCCTCACGCCTGCCTGTCTCACCTAACGCGCGAGCCCCTCGCCATTGGCCACGGCGGCTCGAGCCTCTCGCTTGACCACACTGCCTGCGTTCGCGAGGTGACCCCCGAAGCTCTTCGCTCACTCCGTCCATTACACCCTAGGCGATGCTTAAGAAAACCTAAGTTTTCGGCCAGAGTCTCGGCTATTCTTAATGTTTCAATGTAAGTCCTAAGGTTTTAATACAAGTCCTGGGCTTTTATTCAAAACCTGAGACTATGAATTTCTTAACCCATGATTTCTAAAGCATTTCGCAGGGTGTACTATACTTTCTGTCGCTGCCGTGCTCAACCGAAGACCCACGATCGCCTTGTGCCCCAATCCGGGCCTCTCCACGCAGCCGTGGGCTTGTGTGAGGAACACCTTCTTGGGCCCGACCAGCAAGGAAGACTATGCACAGCGCTCTGTGAGGCATTTCCTCCGTCGCGCGCCCGCCGACTCTAGCATGGGAAAGCTCAACATGGACTCGGGCTCGAGCATCCGACCCGCCCGCGAGGGATATGTGTCTGATGCGGCTGAAGCCGCACACTCAATGAGGCCTTCTGGGCGGATGTGTGGGAGGACGTACCACTTCTTGCCGCTCTCACCGGCCCTGGTGGTGAGACCACCGCTCTACGCTGGTATAGGGTCCAGGTCTTAGTCGCCCTGGGTGCTGGGATCTGGCCGTTGTTGTCATGGTGTCTCGCCCATCGATTCCTGGCCCAAGTTGCTCTGTGTTGCGGGGCTCAGCCGCTATTTGCCGCAGCCTTGGTCGAAGTAGATCTCGCCATCCCGGTCCACGTCGGGCTCATCCCGTCTATTTGGGCGCCTCCCACGCTGGCGGGAGGGAGGGCGCCAGGATTTTCCTCCTTTTCTCTCCGCATGCCTATAAGATAAACAAGTTGGAGGAGGGATGCCGAGAGGTGTGTCTTATCATGTGTGGCGGCAAATGTTTGACTGGGATCCTCAGTTCCCTCATCCCTGGGGAGCCTCGTGGGGTTGTTTCAGATTTGCTGAGGGGCTGATCCATCCCCAAACGCAGGAAGACCTCGGACATTCGACGTCGTGTTTCTGTTCGCAGCGTGGCTTGCCGCAGGTGTGGACCCCTGTCTGGAGATGTGCTCCCATCCCGAGCCGTTCTTTGTTGACGGTCCAAGGGCCCAGTGGGTGCCACCGGAGGCCGAAACCGGTCAAAGATGTTCCGTCGGTATCTTTTAACGTCGCGAGGATGCGGAGGAGGAGGAGGAGGAAGGAGCCGGGAGGCAGGAGCAGACGGGGGAGCGTTTTTCTTGCTCTCCCTGCCGCCTCTCTCCTTCAGTGCCGCGAGCTGTGGCCCGCCGTGCATCCGGGGGGGTCCTGTTGCGAAGCTTCGGGAGGGTCGGCCCGTTCCCCCCTCCCTCTTTCCCACGACGACGAGGACGACGACGACGACGACGACGACGACGACGACGACGACGACGACGACGACGGCTAGCTGCCGGCCGGCACAGGCGGCCGCCGCCACGTTGGACAACAACCTGCAGCGGAGCCGCGCGGCCAAGGGCGCCCCGCGCCCGTCGAAGCGCGGCGTGGTGGCGCCGGTGCCGCCCCCGCCCGCGGCCCGCTGCGAGATACAGTCGGGGCGCTGGGGAAGGAACCCTTTCCCGTTGGGGAGGGGCTCGGTGCTCCTTGATTGTCTTACGGTTTGCCTTTGGCTTTCCTGAGGTTTTCCATGGAAGATCCATGTGTAACCTACGGGGAGCAAGGGGCCTCGTTCCTTGTTCAGGTCTCCTGAGGTCAGCGCCCCGACTGTAGGGGTGCGCAGGGCTGCTGCACGTATTGAGACATTCGATGCGGAGGTTTTCGTCGGCCTCCGGGTTCCTTCGGTCCTTCGCTGGGCCCCAGGGCCGTCATCAAACGAGCCAGGATGCAAAGACGGCCCTCGGGAGAGGGTCGGGGCTTCCAGGGTCGCGTATCGAGCGGAATCCATGCGTCGGATGTGCTGCGCTCGGCGGCGCGCAGAGGGGTGTCCGCAGGGTTGAGGTTCTCAGGCTTCGGGGTGCCTCCCAGCAGCTGCGCCTCGCCGAGAGTGTTCCCAGGGGGGTGCCGGGTCACCCTGTTCCCTCAGAGTGCGTCCTCGATGCCCAGGCCAGGGAGGAATCGAAAGGGCGAAATCCTGAAGCGTCCTCCTCTTCCCACCCCCCTGCCTCCTCCTTTCTCTTCTCTTCGTCCTCGTCCTCGTCCTCCTCGCCTCCTCCCCGTCTCGTGACTGGTCCCGTCTCGTCCTCGTCCTCCTTGCGCTCGAGCTGATTGCAGGGGTCACCGTGGGGGGGGCCGCCGGCACCGCGAGCAGAGCACATTCCGACGTGGGAGGCAGTCGGGGCCTAAGACACACATTCCGGTCGTTGA